ATTCAAACAGATGAGGGAGAGATCTGTTGATAAGAGATATATGAATGGGTAATCTTGTCATTATAGAAGTCCAGAGTGAAGGCTGCATAGGAACAGGGAGGGACTGCATAACAATGAAAGAGTTTTTCTTTTTCTTTTAGATGAGAAGAGTGATTTGGGGCAAGGGGGTGGGCAGGGAGAAAAGTGCAACAATGAGTAACTAGAAATTCTAAGTCTCTGTAAACTTTCATTAAAATTAATAAATACATTTTTTAAAAAAGAAAAGAGTAAGAGAAAACATTGGACTGACTGGCATTAAAATTGAGGAAAAACTGTTCCTAGCCAGACTTCAGAGAGGTGACTAAGTGGAAGTGCTAAGACATCACAATAGGTCTACATCAAAGGCCCTCTAGTGTGGAAAGACACTGAAGAATCCTGATGTTTGAACTGTAGTGCTGGGAAGAACACAGAACAACCACCCCATAGACAATAAAAAGAACAAACTTCTAAGTCTTGGATTAAGTGTAGCCAGAAGGCTCCTTAAAGTGGATGGTGGGACCTGATCTCAGGTACTCTGGACATGTTATCAGGATGGACAGATCCTTAGACAATGGCATCATGTTTGGTAGAGTAGCCAAAGAAAAGAGACCGTCCACAGATGGACTGACTGACTTGTTACAATGTTGGGCTCAAATCCAGCAGCCAGTGTGAAGGTGAGACAAGTCTGGGTCTGTTTTCATTAGTCGCGACAAGTCTGCATTGATGCATTAGCTTCTACCAATCAAGGATGGGAAATGGCACAAGATGGCAAAGCAGGAAAATCTTCATTACTCCCCGTGGACCTGTGGGGAAATCCATCCCGACTTCTGGCTTGAGAGTGCTGAACTGACTACAGCCCAAGAGCTCTCCAAGCTTAAGTGCTTCACTTGCAAAACTGAATAAAATAATTCTACACTGAATTGTCTCTCAGACAAGTTACTTGGTTATTTTTGCTGCTTTGTACCATCAAGTCAGAACCAAGTCATAATTGACTCTCCAGTGAGTTTCAGAGGCAGTAAAACACACAGGCAGAGACTTCCCATCTTTCTCCTACAGAGCAGCTGGTGGATTCAAACTCCAAACCTTTGGGTTGGCAGAGCAGCACCTGACCACTAGGCCACCAGAATTACTTGGTAGTAAACTCAGTTTCCTCTTAAAATCAGACTCAAAGGCGAGCATCATCTTGAAGGTAATTGTTTTAGTTGTTGGGTGCCGTTGAGTATGACCCATAGCTACCCTATGAACAACGGATGTGAACCCTGCCCTATGCTGTCCCATCCTCACACTACCTGAAGCACTCACTGCCGCAGTCACCATGTCAATCTACCAGGTGGAGAGTTTTCCTCTCCCTTGCTGACCCTCTACCTTTCTGAGCATCATGTCCCTCTCCAAGAATAGCCCCTCCTAGCAACAAGCCCAAAGTATATGAAGCTCATCATTCTTTCTTCCAAAGAGCAGTCCGGCTGGACTCTCTCCAAGACAGTGGTTTGCTCTTTTGGCCGTCCATGGGGATGTTCAGTGCTATTCTCTAACACCACAGCTCAAAGGTATCATGTCTTCTTCTGTCATCTTTATTCATTGTCTAGGTCTCAGATGCATAGACGTGACTGGAAAGACTATGGCATGAATCAGAAACACCACAGTCCTCAAACTGACATCATAACTCCTTAGTAATTTGGGGAGGTCCCTAACTACAGTCTTTCCCAGTGCAATACATCTCCTGATTTCTTGACTGCTTCAGAGAGTGTGAACTGTGGATCCAAGTAAGATGAAGTTGTTGACAGTTTCAATCTTTTCTCCATCTATCATGACGGCCCCTATTGATCCAGTGGTAAGAATATTTTTTTTTGCCCCTGTGCATAACTATTTGATTATTTTCCTATACTCATTGTCACTTTACATTGCTGTTGTGTAAATTAACAACATGCATAGGAAAATACTCAAATATTTATGCACAGGGGGGAAAAATAGGATTGCTAAGTGTTTATGCATAAAGCCAACAACTGCCTTACCATTAGAACGGCATAGTTACTGAGGGAATAGCACTGGATGGTGGTGATGTTTTCGTCAGAGTAGAGGATACGGCAGCCATCTGACTTCCAGCCTCCTTGTCCATTCAGCAGATCGAAGTCCCACTGGGCTGCGACAGCATCTGCCCCATGTGCGATGCGACGGAGAGTCACATTAACGGGAACGTGCTGCGTGTTGACGTTGACACCATCTGGAGAGAAGCGGAAGGACAGTAGCTCTGAACCAAATGTCATAACCAATTACATCCGTTTACCCACAAACTGAGGCTGAGCCCTAACCTGGTCCACCAGGGGCTCGTGTGAGTGAACAGGAACAAAGCAGGAGCATTCTGGGGACCACGGGGTTATCAAGTCACACTGCTCCCCGTTAACCACAGGAAGAGGCGGGCCCCAGACAGACCTATTTTAGTGAGAATTACAGGGCTGACCACCGTTCGCCGTTTCCCATCATCGGCCAGCTTGGTGGAGTTGCCGGTGGCCGGGAAGAGCTTGCCATTTCGGAACGCGATGAGCTGGAGCTTGTACAGGGAGTCATCCGTGGGTCTGACTTCTCTTTTCTGCTTTGGTGAGAAAAGGGATGGAGGGAGCTGGATAGAAGCTTCAACAACAGTATTCTGGAAAAAAACAACAACAAAAAGAGAAGGCATAGAGTCAGAACAAGCCAGAACATTCTCTATAGGAAGCTTTTTGATAATGATCAGAAGACATTCTGTCAAAACCCCAAGAGCAGTTCAAGTTAGCAGATAAAACATACAACTCTGCAGCTGAAACATAAAATTGAAGAGTTAATACATTTAAAACAAAACACTGGTTATCAGTCTAGGGGCATTTCTGAACTCTCAGAAGAGCCAAACATGACTAAAGCAACTCAATTAACTGTCCATCAACAAAAGAGCGGATAGAAAAACTAGGGTATCTTCACACAAAGAAATAGTACATAGTGCTGAAAAAACAAAGAATTTGTAAAACATTATACAACATGGGGGGACCCTGGAGGACATGATGCAGAGTGAAATATCTCAGTCACAAAAAGACAAATACTGCATAATACCACTGTTATACAATAGGACTGACATGGGGGTTAGGAGGACACTAAGAAAATAGTGGATAGATAATGAACACTACATTGGAACAGATTAGGAAAAGGAATATATATGATTCGGTATTAGACATATGACAACAGTCTAGAATAAGAGGTAATTCTAGTCCGCATTGCAATGTGGACTGGGGAAAGGGAAGAGAGGGGTAAAGAGGAAACGATACAACAATGACTTAGTATTTTTAAAATTAATTTTAATGAAAGTTTACAGAGACTTAAGGTTTCCAATCATTCACTGGTGCACTTTTCTCCCTGCCCACCCTTTCCCCCCACAGTTCACTCTTCTCCTTAAAAAGTAAAAGAAAAACTCTTTCATTGTTATGCAATCCCTCTCCCCAAGTTCACTCCACTATGTAGCCTTCATCCTGGACTCCTGTCATGACAGTAATACCCGATCATATATCCGTTTTAAACAGATCTCTCCCGCATCATTCCTCCCCTCTTTCTCTGTCTTCCATCAACCCCAATGTCAGTCCCATTTTACAACAGTGGCCCTATGCAATATTTGTTCTTTTTTGACTGATATTTTACTCAGTATAATGCCCCCCAGGGTCATCCATCTTGCATAATATTTCATGAGTTCCTTGTTTTTCAATGCTGTATTCACTCCACTGAGTGAATATACCAGAGCTTCTCTATCCATTTGTTTGTTGATGGGCACTTGGGTTGTTTCCAGCTCTTTGTTATTGCAAACAAAGCTGAAATAAACGTGGGTGTGCATATATCTGCTTGGGTGGTGGTTATGGTTTCTTGAGGGTAAATTCCCAGTAGTGGAATAGTTGGGTCAGAAAAATGTGCAACAATGAATGAATGAAAATCCAACTTTCTTGTAAATGTTTGTTAAAAATCACAATATAAAGAAAAAATTTAAATGGTTTTTTTTTAGGAAAAAAAATAGCCAAACATGGAAAGAAGTTTGAGTAAACAGAAATTAAATCCCCATCGCTAAGAGTTAAAGAGGCAAAGTAGCAATTATTTCAGAGGATAGCATTCATCTTCCCTAAATGGTTGATATTGTTGAAGCAGATGACACTACTTCTCAGGCATTTCAAAATGGCAATCTAAGGTAAGAGTGCGAGCGGTCGGTGGGGTTATATACTGTCAAGCCGCTTACGACTCACAGAGATCCTGTGAGATCTGACCCATGTGCTACCCTGTGCCACTGTCACAACCACGCATCCTACGCTTGAGACCACTGCTATAACCACTGTGTCACTCCATCCTGTGAAGGGTCTTCTGCTCTTTCTCTGACCCTTCCTTTTCCAGCATGATCGCTTCCTCCAAGGACGGGGCCCTCCAAAAAGGAGTATAATTAATCGAAGCCTGTGGAACTCTGAGGTGATTTAAGAGAGATGCAAAACACAACAGCAGAGAAAGGAAGAAAATGTACAAACATAATAGAAGTTTAGAGTCAACAAACTCTTATTGTTCCAAAGTTCCCCTACGGCTAAGAAACACATTAAGAAAGAAAGAAAATGTTTTACTGCAGTCAACAGTAACAAGTGAAAATGCAGGGTGGCCGGTCAATGCCTTTCAGACTTTTGTATTAGGAAAGTTTGTATTATAAATGAACAGCATTCAATTTGAAAAAAAAAAAAATAGAAAAACCTTTAAAGAAAAAAAAAAAACCCAAACCCAAAACCAACACCAAGGCAAATAATTATCTTAAAAATCCCCATCTGAAAAACACATCCATCACCAAGCCGCTCGCTCTCCCTCCAATCCAATTTTCATTTCAACAGAAATTCTCCACATACAAATCTGATCACGTTACTGCAATTTAATTGGTGTCTTGGTTCTCCAAGATTTAACAAACAACCCACGGCTGTTGAATTGAGTCCTGCTAATGGTGACCCTTCTTTATGTATCCAAACCTTTGCAGGAAGAGACTGACCACCTGGCCTGTTATAAGCTACATCAGGAGGGCTCCTTACATGCAGACTAACTACAACTGAATTGCTAGGCAGCTCTGGTGGCTTAGTGGTAAAGAATTGCACTGCCAGTGCAAAGGGAAGCGGTTTGAACCCACCAGCTGCTCTGTGGGAGAAGGATGGGTCACTTAAAAACCCCACTGTAGGGTCAGCTATGGTGAGCTGTGCTGCTAATCCCAAGGCTAAGAGTTATGCAAACTCAAAAGCTTGAGCTTAAACCAGGTGGACTGACACGGTGACTGCTGCAACGGGCTCTAGTGTCTCAGGGAGTGTGACAATGGCACAGGATAGGACAGAGTTCAGAGCTGTTGTTCACAGGGTCGCTACGAGTCATACTCAACTCGACAACATCTAACAACAACGCGAGTAGCTACCATTATCTGTTGTCAGCAGAAGCTTGTGTTTTGCTCCGACGCTTGAAGAGATTTCCACAGAGCTTTCACAAGAACATGAACTAGAAAGAAAGGCCTGGCAACCTACTTCCAAAAGGCAGTCAATGAACCCTATAGATCTTAAAGGGTCCAAGCCACAGCAGGCAGAAGGATGGTGCTGGGCCAGGCAGCTGGTCCTTCCCTTGTGCGTGGGATGCTCAGGAGTTGAGGGCCAACTTGATGGCAGCTAACAAGAGCTTGATCCCTGTGTGTGGCATCTGCACATAAAACATCCCCTGATGCAATGCTGCACTAGATTCTGTCATGTGAGGTGGTGGTTAAGCATTCAGCTGCTAACTGGAAAGTGGACGGTTCAAAGCCACCAGGAGTTCTGGAAAGCGATGCAGCACTGAGGTAGGCTCTACAAAGACCACAGCCTGGGAAGCTTTGGGGGTGGTTCCACCCTGTCCTATAGAGGTCGCTATGAATCAGAACCAGTGTCATGGCTGGGTTTGGCTTAGGGTTTACACATACTGCCTTTGGTGGTGCAGTCTGTAGGAAGCTGCACTGCTAATCCAAAGGCAGTGCCTCTTTGGCAGTTTGAATCTGTCACCAGCCCCAAAGGAGAAAGATGAGCATTTTCCCCTCGTGTGATTTCCAGCCCCTGAAAACCTGCTTGTGTGAAAACCTGCCAAAGTGTCAGCTATGAGCTGTTTAAACACAAAAGCTGGAGCCTGTATGTTTCATTCTAGGGTTTTGCAGCCTCTTGTGGACACATTCAGGACTGCGCACCCTGCCCTCACAAGGAAGTGGTTTGTGATGGTTCTTTTGGTGTTTTTTCCCCCCTTAAATTGGTACAAATAGAATTTAATTTTTACAATTGATAACCATATTACTAGGAGTGATAGAAAGAGAATTGATGCCTTTGAGCTGTGGTGCTGGAGAAGAGTACTGAATATACCATGGACTGCTAAGAGAAGACATAGGTTCGTCCGGGAGAGAGTTAAACCAGGCTGCTCCTTGGAGACAAGGATTCTGAGGCTTTGTCTGACATACTTTGGACATGCTACAAGGAGGGATCAGTCCTTCGAGAGTGACATCAGACTTGGAAGGGTGGAAGGACAGAGAAAGAGCAGAAGACAACCAGAGAGATGGATTAATTCAGTGACTTGGGTAATGAGGGTAGGTGTGTCAGAGACAGTAAAGTTGGCACAGGATAGAGCAGGGTTCAGGGCTATTGTACATGGGTTTGCTATGAGTCATATGTGACTAGATGACACATAACAACAACAGTCAGATTATAATTGTTTATAATTGGTCCTATTTGTTCCATCTTTTTTAAAAAGCATAAAACATTGAAGATAACATACTGTCCTTATCATGCATTGAATTGCATTCCCCCAAGAAAGATTTACTGAAGTCCTAACCCTCATACTTGTGAACATAATCTTGCTTGAAAATAGGGTCTTTAACAGAGTCATTAGTTTACATAAGCTCGTACTTATTATTAGGTGCTACTGAGACAGGTACCACTTACTCAACCCTCTGAACAACAGATCTGAACACTGTTCTATCCTGCGTCATACTGATCCTCTTTGACAAGACGTCAGGCTTGGAAAGACAGAGGGTCAGCAATAGAGAGGGAGGCCCTCAATGAGGTGGATTCAGGCAGTGAGTCTAATAATGGCCTCCAGTGTATTAGAGACGATGAGGAGGACACAGGAATAGGGCTAGGTTCAGATCCTTCGGTCACAGCGTCGCTATGATTGGGGTTGACTTGAGGGCCATCTAAGGACATCTCACGTCTCACATTACTGGTTCCTGGCTCCTGCAATTGGCAGAAACTGTCATTTAGCTAAATGTCTCTGTTGTTGTTGTTGTTAAATGTCGTCGAGTCATAGTCAACTCATAGCTACCCTATGAACAAAAGACCTGAACACCTGTATAACTTCCATTGTTTCACCACTTTAATGGAGTTTCTGGAGGCAAGTTATTTTGGAAGTGGATGCCACTCCTGCTTCCAAGCTTGTTTGAATCGGGAGCTCCACCAAACAGTGTCCACGATGGGTAAACACTATCGCATTTGACACATCAGCGTTTTTAAATTTTGGCACACCCAAATGCTGGTGGACTATGAGCCAGAGACACCCCCCCCCCATTCATCTGGCAAGTCCCATCTGCTGACACCCACTTGGGATGAAAATCAAGCCTCA